TACATGGAACTGTGTGTGACCTCCTCCCTGGGGGACAGACAACCGAAAAGTGGATGAAGGGAGACGTCGGACAGGGCAAGATATGACAAAATACCCATTTATAAACTATCAAGGGCTCATGCGGGAGGGGGGAGCGGGGAGGGAGGGGAAAAATGAGGACCTAATGTCGGGGGTTTAAGTGGAGAGAAAATGTTTTGAGAAACGATGTACAAATGCGCTTTACACAATTGATGTGTGTATGGATTGGGATAACAGTTGTATGAGCCCCTAATAAAATGTTAAACAAACAAACAAACAGGAAAGAAAGAAAGCATTAAAGTGGATGTCAGAAGAGCCTCTGAAACTTGCTCTTAGCCATAGGGTAGCTAAGGCAAATAGAAGAAATGATGAAGTCAAAGAGCTGAACAGAAAGTTTCAAAGGGCAGCTCAAGAAGGCAAAGTAAAAGATTATAACAAAATGTTCAAGACCTGGAGTTAGAAAAACCATAAAGGAAGGACATGCTTAATACACATCAAGCTGAAAGAACTGAACAAGAATTTCAAGCCTGGAGTTACAACAATAAAAGGTACTGTGGGCAAAACATTGAGCAATACAAGAAGTATCAAAAGAAGATGGAGGCCCAGACGTTGTAAGATATTAAAACAATAATCTATAACTCATCAAGGGTTCATGAGGGAGGGAGGGTGTGGGAGAGTGAAGGAAAAATGAGGAGCTGATATTAAGGGCTCGAGTAGAAAGAAAATGCTTTGAAAATGAAGATGGCAGCATACGTACAAATGTGCTTGACACAATGGATGAACGTATGGATTGTGATGGGAGATGTAAGAGCTCCCAATAAAAGTATATAATAAAAAATTTTGGATTGTGATAAGAGTTGTATGAGCCCAAAATAAAATGACTAAAAAAAAAAAGTGTTAAAGAAGATGTAGGCCCAATACCCCTCCCTGAACAGGGCTTTAGAAAATGAGTACCAGGGGCTAATCAAAGGAAATATTAATGGATAATCATTATGTCCCAGGGGGATGATCAGTAAGACTCTCTACCTTAAATTAACAGGGAGGTTTTGAAAGGGAGTCAAAGGCAGATTTTTTAAAAAAAGCATTCCTGGTGGGGCCTTGTCTTGATGTTGTATAGCTTCAGGTGGATGGTCATCTCCCAGTTCCCCCGTCTTAAAGGAGAGATCCCAGTCAATGTAGGTCTGCTCCTTCACGTTGGCTCTTGTGAAGTGCACAAAAAAGGAAATGATAGATGGTTCATGGCCGGTAGATAGCCTTCTCTCCTATTGTTCAAGAATTGGTCCCTAAGATTTTAAGTTTTGTTTAATTGTTTTTTCTTCTGATAGTAGTGCCCTCATACAATACTTGCCCTTTTGTGATTGACTTCCTTCCCTCAGCATAGTGGTTCCCTGGTTTTTCCATATCCTGGGTTGTTTCGGGCTTTCATCATTGTTTTACAGGGATGCATATTATTCCATTGTGTGTATGTAGTTTCTTTATCCATTCTTCTACTGTTGGGTATTGGGGCTGCTTCCAGTTTCTCACCATTGTGAACTCTGCTGCTATGCACATGGGAAAGCACACCTCCACTCATGTTGTGTCTTTTATTATTTTATCCTTACCACATTATTTCACTTTTATTGTTTCTATTGGATTTCCCAGTTTATGAAGTACAGGAGGATTGGATGCATAATGATAATAACTGAAAAAAGGGTTTATAGGGGATGTTGGAGTGAGGGGTGGGTGATAAGGAGGGAAAGGGCATTTCAGGAGTAAACAATGAAGGTGGGGCAGGTAGGGAAGGGGACCCTAGAACTGACTGTGATTGCACAACTCATTTTAAAGACAATTTAACCATGGGGGTGGGAGGATGTTCTAAAATTGATATGTTAATGATGGTAAAATCCTTCTTGATATGATGGAATATTTGAACTATTGAATTTTAGGATATCTGACTTATGTGCCAATAAAATTGTTGGGAAAAAACAAACAAGCAAAAACCCATAGGTCTAGGAATGAGGTTTGGGTTCGCATTAAATCCTATCTCCAATTTAAGAATAATTAGTTCTTACATCACGGCCCTACTAGATACTCACCCTCGGAAAAGGAACATAGAAAATATGGGTGCTTTAGCAAAAGGTTGTGAAGAAATTAGATGGTGCCTGGCTATCAAATAGAGTAGCATCTGGCATCTTAAAGGCTTCTTCCCCATAAGCAGCCATCAAAATGAGATGTCAACTAAGTCCACATGGAAGAAGCACACCGTCATCAGTCACCAAAGGATTGTGAAGCATATAATCCGAAGTCAAAGGAGGGAATAGTATCAGAGCCTAAATTGTGAGACTCCAGTTTGCAGAAGGCTATGGATGACTGTGGGAGCCAAGACTCATTTGTGGGGTCCACATAGGAAATAAGCCTCTGGTGATATTCTTATATCCATAATTGATGAATGGGAGGAAAATGATCACTAAACGGAGTGCGTAGGAGAGATGAGTATAGAAGATCAAAGGGATAAACCTGACTTGAACAGTTAAAAATCTGTCAATTGATCCCTCCTCTGATGAACGCTGTACCTGATCTGGTTTTCAATATTTTCTGTATTTTTGTTTTGTTCCATTTTTGTTTGTTCATAGTAGGGTTTATCTCAGAGATTTTATGTCATGGGGGGGGGGTCACCCTCTTGAAGTTGTGTTATATGTCTTTCTGTCTTTCGGTATATGACACCCAAGATTGATGAACCTATAGGGACAGCAAGTAGAATAAGGGTTGGGGTGGGGGGCAACAGCGGTTGGGGGTGGTGGTAAAAGGGAGACAGTGTCAAGGAGTCCAGGAAGAAAAAGAATTTTTGGAAACTGGTGTGGTAGCAATTTTACAATAATGCTTGATGTGATTGAACTATAAAATATGATATTTGTATTAATTCCAATTAATATTTTTTAAAAGATGATGCAAAAGAACACACAGGGTTTCTATATATCAAAAAGAACTAATAACAGCTGCAAAATTCATCCTATATACCCTATCCTTTATACCATCTTATTTCATTACCAGTTTGAATCTGCTACCATAACATTCATTCTCTCAATAACTATCAAGTACCATTTTTATATATTGGTCTCTTGAATAATCGTTCCTTAGAAAAATATGCAGACCCATTTATTCTCTTTGCAAGTTAAACTAATGACATGCTTGAAAAAGAAAATATACTGGGTCAGAATTGGATATTCTTCAGGGGTGAAGGTCAGGCTTTACCCTCACATATCTCTCTCTGTCTGGGGAAACTTTGCAATATTGTTGTTTCATCAAGTAACCTTGTCAGCCTGGTACCTAGAAAATAGTCCATCTACTCCAGGCCTCTTGATCTTATGGATAGTTGCTTAATTCTGTGAACATGACAACTACTTTTCAAAATGTGACCAGTTTTCCCGGCTCTCAAAAGATATAGCGTCTAGGGTCTTAAAGGCTTGAAGTTAAACAAGCAGCCATCTAGCAGAGAATCAACAAGCCCATATGGAAGAAGCATACTACCCTGTGCAATCATGAGGTGTCGACGGGATCAGGTAACAGGTATAATAAGACCCAAAACAAACAAACACAAAACTATATTGTTGAGAAAGAGGGGGGTTGGAGCAGAAACCCAAAATCCATTTGTAGACAATGGGACATCCCCTCACAGAAGGGTCACAAAGAAGGGATGAACCAACCAGGGTGCAGTATAGCACCGATAAAACACACAATATTCCTCTGGTTCATTAAGGCTTCCTCACCCCCCACTATCATGACCCCAATCCTGCCTTTCACTGCGGGCTAGACTGGAGCATGTTTACAGGCACAGGTAAGAGATAAGAGGTCATGACACCTGGAATCCAGAAACAGGAATGGGAGTAACGATACTAGGAAGGTAGAGGGAACGTGGGGAAAGGAGGGGAGGAATGGGGAACCGATTGCAATGATTGACACATAACTACACACTCCAATAACAACAAGTTTATAATTTATCAAGGGGTCACAATGGTGGGAGGGGGAGGGAGGGAAAAACGAGGAGCTGATACCAAGGGCGCAATAGAAAGTAAATATTTATAAAATAATTATGCCAACATATGTACAAATACGCTTGATAAAATTGATGTATGGATTGTTATAAGAGCTGTCAGAGCCTCCAATAAAATGATCTTTTAGTTTAAAAAAAGTGACCAATCATCAAAACATTCAAGTATTAATAACCTAGAAATTTCTACATATTATATAGTTATCTATGGCAAAGGTCTTTGTAATCAAACAGGGCGTTGGGGCAGATGAAATGCAAACATGAGCGATTATGTAAAGCCTTTGGATTGTGACAAAAGGTAACAGAGGCTTAGGGAAGTACTGTGGCTTGCCTACTCACAGGTTCTTGTCCGGTACCTTGGAGTTGGTTCTGACTCACAGCGACCCTCTGCACAGCAGAATGAAACACGACCCAGTCCTGCGTCATCCTCACAATCGTTTTTCTGCTTGAGCCCATGATTGCAGCCGCTGTGTTAATCCATCTTCATGAGGGCCTTCCCCCCTTTTTGCTGCCTCTCTTCTTTACCAAGCCCAAGGTCCTTCTCCAGGGACTGGTCTCTCCTGACAACATGTCCAAAGTATGTAAGACAAAGTCTCACCATCTTTGCCACGAAGGAGCACTCAGGTATACTTCTCCTATGAAGTTTTTCTTTGCATAGTCATGGAAAGAGCTGAATTGGAACCTATGATGCCTGACTACTGATCTAGTGCTTTTTGCATTGCACCAATGCATCCTCTCTTGGATGGGCTCTGGTATATTCAGGAGACAGTATATTGGGTGTGAATTTTAATGGAATTGAGTAGTCCTAGAAAGAGACTGTCGTATTAAGCATTGAGTGACTATTAAAGAAGTCAATTGGCTGTAATAGAGTTGATTTTTTTTATCTCCTCTTCTTCTATCCCTTTGTCTTTCACACCTATCCCCTTCCTCTTTCTCTGAACTATGGCTCTCACAGGGTGGTGCCAAAGAAGATGATACTCACACAGATAAGTAACTTCTACATGAGCAGCCTTGGGCTTCTCTTCCTGATCGATATTTTCCCAGAAACATCTGGTCAAGGTGAATCAAGACGACAAGAACCTGGGGACTTTGTGAAGCAGGATATCGGCGGGTAAGTACCATTAGCCCTTGAACAAAACAACTGTGATAAATGTTTTCCTTGGTCCCAAATCCCTGATCTCCCCACAGATGCACCCAAGTATTCTGGTCCCTCATAATTAGACATTACATTGTATTGAGAAAAAGATAATCAACTCAGACATTCGAAGTGGAAACTCCCTGCTATCGAGTTTATTCCTACTCATGGTGACTCTATAGGACAGAGTAGAACAACTCCGGGGGCTTTCTGAGACTGTCAATTTCTGTGGGAGTAAAACGCCTCCTTTTTCTCCCAGAGTAACTGGTGGTTTTGTACTGCTGACTTTTTGGTTAGCAGACCAATGCCTAACTACTACCCCACCAGGGCTCCAGCAAACTCCATGGATGACTTGATTCCCCTCTGCAGTATTCTATTCATCCTTTTTCTTTTAATTGTCACTCTTTTCTCTTACATTTTCCATGTGTCTCTCTCTATTGGATTTGACTCATAAGCATTTACATCTGAGCAAAAAAAATCTCATTTTATGTTGATAAATCTTCCCTTCAGATCATGCCTTATGTCTGTCCTCCACTTCATTGCTACACTTCTTAAAGGAGTAGTGCACATTACTGCATCTACTTTCTCACCTCCCACTGTCTGGACTTCCTTCTCCATCATGCTAAGGGAACTTCTATAACCAGGACCACAAGTGTTGGCTTTATTGCTAAAATGAACATCTGTCTGTCCTTGTAGTCCTCATCAGTAATGGCATTCCAAAGAGTTGACTCCTCATCAGCACTATTTTATTATGAAATTAAGCATGCATACAGAAACATGCATGAAATATACAGTTTATGAATTATTCTTTATCTATCTAATTTCAAAGACATCATCATTTCCTGATGTCTTAAATGAGGTTCTCTAGAAGCAGAGCCTGAGTTGAAGATTCTTGAGCATATGATTAGTGAGAAAGTGCTCTCTGGAGAAATATGTAAGGAAGTAAGGCAATGAAGGTAAGGAAGGGGAAAAGTACAGCGAGTGATTTCATTTGAAGTTTGGTCTTAATTTTACACTATGGGAGAGAGATGAAGCAAGATGGCATCACAGATTTGTGCCCTTGAGGCGGAAGGTGGGGGTGGGCCGTGTCTGGGGCTTTTGATCATCTGGAGCCCCTGGAGGAAGGCAGACCTCCGAGGCATTTTAGGATGAGGTGGCTCCCTTTAACCAAAGATAACTGGGTGGATGGTTAACCTAGGCCAATAAAATGGGTCTGAGCATGGTACAAACAGTAAATATCCTACTTCATTTTAATAATATTTTATGGTTATAGTTTCCACAGTATTTCTATTTTTGATACAAAAGTTTGCAATCCCTTTTGCCATCCTAAGCAACTTTTAAAATTTCTTCTGTAATCTTCTCTTTCTTTATTCATCCTTCAGATAGTGGTGATTTTTCTTTCTTTTTTTTAAATTTATCATTTTATTGGGAGCTCTTACAGATATCATAACGGTCCACAGTTCAATCACATCAAGCAGTGTTGTACAATTGCTAGCATAATTCGTTTCAAAACATTTTCTTTCTTCTTGAGCTCTTCGATA